CTTCCTGATTTCCATGTCTTATCGCGTGCATATGTTTGATAGATGATTTATCCGCGCATATGATGTGAAATACTCCTGACTGATGCAAGGGTAGGGATAGAGGCAGATTCATGAATTAAACTTGTAATGCTCTTAGTTACATGTCACACTTAGAATTAATCTTTTGTTGATATTGATTTTACATATGTATGTTATAGAACCCATCTTTTATGGTGCGTCCTCTGGCCAGAGAAGGGCAACGTGAACATACTTTTTACGCGATCTTTCCTTCCATTTCTGCTATGATCCTTCACACCTCGAATCTAGCTCCACCGTGTTTAATAGTCCCTTGTACCATCAATGGCAGGTAAATTTGGCTCATGGCTCTGAGAAGATGTTCTCAGTTATGGACAGTACAATGGGATCTTATCCTTCTGAATGTGTGGAAAAGTTTGTAGCTTTGGCCCTTAAGTGTTGCGAAGACAAACCGGAAGACAGACCTTCAATGTTAGATGTGGTCAGGGAGCTGGAAACTATTCAGTCTATTCTCAATATGATGCCAGATATTGACGCTGATTCAGTAGATTCTAAAGCAAAATTTAACGAACCAAAGACATCGTCTTCTTTTTCTGATTGCACTAGCAAGGACGCGTTTTTATCGTCCTCCAATGTGTCTGGAGCTTACAGTATCAGTGGTGTCAGTCTTACTATGCCTCGCTAACAGAATAGAGACAATAGTTGTTCATCTTTTGTACTAAAAAAGCATGTAGAATAGTGAGTTATACCATATAGATTATGTTTTATATATGTATATTTCAAGGATTTGTTAACAAAAATCTCTTTATGATGATAGCCTTCTGAGTTCTGACACTATGTGTATGCTATCAGAATCCAAAACTCTGCTACAAAATGGACTGAGATAGGTACTTCTATTTTTCTGCAAGGACTTGCACCAACCAATTCCTTAAAACAACTGACAACAAGCAGACAATGACAGAGCTAAAGGGGCGGAAGGGGGTTCATCGCCAGAAAATCACACTCTATATATAAAAGGTCGATTTTTTTTTAAATCTTTATAAATGATGAACCCTGTTGTAATCAATCCAACATCATTACCAGAAATAGAAATGTTATCTAAGCTATGGCTACCATGATAGTACAACAAAACAGGGAAAACTCGTTAGTTTTGAAGTAATGTTATCGCTAGATCACATAACATGTCATCGTAAACCACACAAAGGAACAGAAACAAATCCGCGAATCAATATGAGCAAACTCCTGTTTTGTTAGACATGGCTGACACACTCCAAGCTCCTACAAGAAGTCAGAAAGACTATCTCTTGGACTAAAACGACAGCAAAGTTCATTTTTATTTATAGATCATAGTAAGAGAATAGCGGGTAAATGTCTCTACCGGGAGGGAGAGAGGGAGCCGGTTTTGGATTGGTGTGTATTTGAAACAAATATTGATAATCACTTTGAAGCAGCATCAGCGGTATGTATACTGTCATTCTGGTCCAGCAACCTTTCTTTCTCTCCAACTAGTGTGTCTTCAACGCAAACAACCTTTCCTTCATCTGGTTTATCTGCTTTCTGTGATCCTGTGAGCTTTGCTAACATGACAAATGTCATTCCCCCAAGAATGTTATTCGCGCATCTCAAAGCAATAACCGAGGTCTTAAATACCAAAGGAGGAAGACCTTTAGCTAGCACAAACTCAACACCGTTAAGTGTTTGATATCTTAAATTACTACTGATACCCATATGTATTGCCCATGTTGCTGCATTCAAAAGTGTAGGAGGTGGCTTGTTTGGTGTTTCGAAATTCGGATCCATCTTCTTCCTCAACTTGATTAAACCATTAGATAATGCAGTCCCAACAAGCCCTGCTGCAAATCCAACTGCAGCAAACTGAGTTCCTTTGTACACAAATGTACCAAGCCTACTCAATAAACCATAAGAACCAGACTGAAACATGTGGCTCGGTGGACAATTGGCGAACATCAAAGGAAGAGTTTGGATCGAAGCAGATGCCGTTGGTGCCAACAGATACATCAACACAAAATTCATAATCGAACCAACAACAAGTGTCGAAAACACAAAATCTAATTCATTAAGCCCAAAATTAGGCCTTGATGCCATATCTCCAAGAACATTAGCACTTACACCAACCAATTCCTCCATAAGAACCTTAAAAGGAAACTGTGGATCTGCAGCCACCCTTGATCTCCATCCATTAACAAAAGCACCAATTGGTCCAATCCCATCCCAAGAAGACTTTGAATCATCTGAATCTCCACCTTTACTCCAATCACCCCCACCACCCCCACTACCCCTTCCAATCCCACCACTTCCTCCATCACCTCCACCAACACCAACACAAGGAACTTGATACTTCAGATGATCCAATTGTTTAAACACAACATCCCCAGTTTTCAAAGGATTAAAACAGACCCTATTATCACAAAATCTGGCTGAAACACCAGAAAGATCACGACTTTGATTATGACTATGATAGTAACCCGTAAGAGGAGAACAACGAAGCTGAGACATCGCCACCATTTTCTACCAACCAACCTAATAAAATAAGAAAATAGAATGCAATAGCTATATTATTCATCACATCAACAAACAAAGATTCAGATTCACTTAAAGATCAAGAAAGACTCTTTCTTTTACACAAACAATAATATCTATACATACACACAACAACAAAAAAAGATGCAACAATAAATCAAGAAAAGTAAAAGGGGTTACCTTTTATGAACAGATGTGTTCAGTGGCTGCACAGATGAACAAAAAGATGGCAGCAGCAGCAGCGGCTATACTAGGCTAAAGTGACTAAAATGGGGATCTGCATGAAAGTGGGAATCTTTATAACCTAAACGAAAAATACAGGCGGCAGAGCCAAAGTTAAAGAAAAACAATAGGGGAATATGACAAATGGACGGTCTCCAAAATAAGCATATATTTTAAACTTGCACGTAGCAGCAAAACTAAGAACAAACAAACCAACCTACCAACCACCCGTGTTGTTGTGGTGCGATTGCTTCAATCTTAATTTATTTTGTTCTACGTGATTCAAATTTAAAATAGTATAAATTATAATAATTAATATTTAAAAAAATATATGAAAATTTTATTTAAATTTTAAAAATTAAAATACGACAAATAAATTGAAACACGAATCGAGTTTGATTTATGGTATGTGTTGGTATGACTGCACTCACTGGGCCTAAAATGAGTAGAATTTTAATGATGGAAAATGGTAAAAATGGTTGTTGGTTTGACCTTTTCAGTCATCAATCAGCACCTACTACAATATGGCTCAAAGTTGGTGGCTTTCAACTAATTATGCAAGTCATTTAGTCTGAGATTAAGTTTTATTGAGTTTAATATTTAAAATATTTTATATTAGTGGAATTTTATTAGTATTTAAGTCTATCGTTTTTATTATTATTGAATTGGTGATAAATATAACAAGATGGAGTTGTTTGGATGATAAGTAATTCTACTTTAAATTTAAAGTTGTAAGTTCGAGTCACCAAGAGAGAAAAAAAATTAGAGCTCGTGAGAGGGGTTAACATTAGTTTAAATTTATATTCCATAATATTTATTTCTCTTCTAAATTTAGGCTGTAGATTGATTGCAAAATATTTAATTAGTTTTTTAATTTAATATTTATGAGACAAATAACAATCTCTTATTTAAGTTACTTATAAATGATGTTGTACTCTTTTATTTTTAATCAATACAAAGAATTATTATTCACGCTCTCTTAAATTTTCTCTTCAATTTGCTTAATAAGTACTCTACATCTTACTCTAATTATGCAATTAATATATTCATGTCATTTTTCAGACAGGAGCATGATAAATAAAGCATTGATTAATTGATTTTCTGATTTATATATGATTTTTAATTTTATATCAAATATTTTAAAATACTTTTATATACGTAAAATATCTTAACCTAATATGTGAGATCAAGTCGTTGTAGAATTATTTTCTCCTATTCAAGTTTCAAAAACATAAAGAACTGTCATAAAAACTCGTTTTATGTATCATATACAAAACGAAACAGAAAAAAGAATTATTTCAACTACTTGAAAGCAACATGTATAAAATACCAGCACATCCTGCCTTGTAGACCCGTCCAAACATTGATTGTAACATTTTTGGAGTTCAGTTCTAGGCTCATAGCTATTATTTATTTCGAAATTAACTATTTTACTTTAATATATGATAAAAATAATATCATAATTTTAAAATTGTTATTCTACAATTTTAATTCAACTTAAAATATAAAAATAAACTTATCTTAAAATTAAAATTAAAATAAATTATTTCATATCTCTCGTATGAAGACCGGTCGAAAGTCAAAATTAAGGTTGTTTCCATATGTTTGTTCTTTTCTTGATTTATTTCACATGGTGTGATTGTAATCGAACTCAAATTACTAATGTAGAATGATGATACATGAACCCACAACATCAACATCACAAAAGATTTGTCTAAGCCACCAAAGCTATTCTATTTGGGATATTTTCTCTAGATAGTAGAATATTTGGAAAAAAATACCAAAGATATTCCCCATATAATTTAAGCAGTTACAAAGAAAATATACAAAAATCTAATAATAATAATATGCAAATAATTGGGTTCAAAAGATAAAAAAATAATGTACAAAATTTAACCTTAGAACCTCAAATGAAAATTTTTGAACCTCTTAAATCATTAAACCAATCAATCAAAGACTATATTACCTTATGAATGCGATGTAAACTTTTGCTAAGAGGATTCAAGTGAATACCCTTCCGCTCCCTAGATCCGCCCCTAACCAATGACCACATAAAAGTTGCAATACTTCCTAAGAATTGGGGTGGCGGTAGTGCTGAAATCTCAAGTTCGAATCATGGTTATGGAGAAAATCTTATTGGGAGGCGCCACCCCCACAAAATAAGCACTACAATACTCTATTCGACTTTAGTCGGAACTCCAATATAGATACTGAACACCAAATCGGAAACAAGAAATGTCTATGGTTATACTCGAAAAATACTTATAGGCTTACAAACCACTAGCACAATTATGAGACAGTAATAGAATTATTTCATACAGCAATTAATAAACACAAAAATAAATCCAATAGAAGAAGTTGATAACCACTGGCATGACCAAAAATTAATCCAAAGATCCAACTATAACCCACAAGATGTATTCTTTCTGTATATGATATATATATATATATATATATATTCCCTTTCTTTCTGTTTCTTCTGCTGGAAAAATAAATAAAATCCACAAGCCAACCACAATGCCAACCGCGCAAGGAATGTCTTTCTCTTTCTCTATTCATATCTCGAGTTTAGGTAGCTACGCGGATATGGGATCAAGAAATGGAATGTCTGAACTTCTCAACGACCAGTCTTGGGACGTTTCAATCCACCACTATTGAAAGGAGAGACACTGCCACTTGGTCCGGGACTCTCTTCTCTGAGATTTGAATTTAGCATGGCAAGTTCATGCAATTGTTGTCTCTTTATATAATCCTGTGACTCGTCCTGTAAATCGTAGCATTGTACTAAGTATGAGGCAGTAAGAACTATGTGAAAATATAAACTGGTTTATCTTGGTTTTCATTGAAATCTGCCTAATTAAATGTGAAAAGAAAAAGATAAGACCAGACTAGAAGCCGCTACATGATTTTCAACATGTAGTAAACATAGAGACGAAGCTAAAGTTTCAAATACGTTCTCCATTAATTACTTTTGTGTACTATATGATAACTTGTTGTAGTGCCAGATGGAGGAATATTTTGATAGTTGTATCCTTTTTGTGTGGAACGGGATGATATCAAAGATATAAAAAGAATAATGGCAACTCAATTAGTAGCATTGCTCCTGAATGTGCTAAGCGATGAATTAAACAGGGATGCGTACCACTGGCTTGAGCAACTCCTCTATAATTTCTTGTGCCCGTCTCAATCTAATATCCACGATATTGGCAGGTAATTCCGCCTCAATTAAAATGTGGAGTGGTTCATTCAGGTGCTCATATCCTGGTATTCCACGCAGGTTCTCCTCCTTGAGATTATCAAACATAAAAAATACATTAGAACTCCAGACTCCAGAGATCAGCTCGCATAAATGCCTATTAATTAAGTTAATGAAATCTTCAAAAATAAATGTCTGATTTACAGGAATTCGAAGGAGCAAGTTGATATTGGCAGAGCTATAACTTTACAGTCAACTGCAGGGGCGTGAATCTAAGTTGGTACTAATGGATCTGTATAGATAAAACTATTCCTACACAATTTTGGTCCATAACACAAAACAACGAAGTAGGTAGTTTGCCTCCCATCGATAATCAAATAGAATGGTGAACTACATCATACCTACCCCTAATGACCTACTGACCAAGGCTACAAGTTTAGTATAATCCTTCTAATATAAAGATACTGGGAGAAGCAAGGCCAGAAAACTGTATAGATATTAATAAAAAAGGAAGATGAACATAGTTTGTGGAAGTTCTGCAGGTCAAGCATTAACTTGAATCACCTTATCTAATTAAGATGATGAAAACACATGACATGGTTTTGTTCTGAACTAATTATGAGAGAAAGTTGTACTCAATAAAAGCATCTCGGAGACTTGGCAACTCATACGTCTGATAATTACATATGCAGCTAGAGCTAATCAATCAGACAATTCAACTGAACTGAGATAGAATAGAATACTAGCATTACCTGATCCGGATCCTTTATTGACCCTCTTCCTCTAATATACACACGACATCCTGTAGTAGCTTCCACCTGTTTCAAGGAATTACCCCTAGGACCGAGAAGTCGCCCAACAAAATTGAACTGAAATCCACAGAGAAGTTAGTTCAGCAAGGGTTCATTGGCCCCAAATTAAACTAAATAGCTCTGATAACCAGTGTGTGAAAACAATAAATAAACCCTTACATTTGGGTAAGTTTCTAATGGAATTTCTAAGCGCAATATCCTTTTCATAATGTATGAACTAGGACTTGCTGGTGCCCCGTGCCAGTCCATTGACATTCCAGGAGCTCCACTTAATCTCTGCCACAAATAAATAAACATAATAAGTGGGAGGAAAGCTAAAGAAACCAGTTAACACACGATATAAAGTGCTTGACCCTCAAAGAGGCAAAAAAAAAAAAAACTATAGATTAGAAATCAATTATCAAATGCATCACCAGTATGGACAAACTGAATATACACACAGTTACAAAGCTTAACTAATGACAGATTGAATAGCATTGTATCTCACATGCCAATTGCGAAAACGATTTGCTCACTTTATATAGCAACTCAAACAGTTCTACAATCTCAAGTATCTACTTAACTCTGTCACCAATGAATTTCATGTTCTAATCTGCGGGCCACTATGCCTAAAGAAATGATAAAAACCAAATTTTTAGTGGGCGGCCATTTCTGTAGTAATGATAAAAAACCAATTTTTTAGCGGGCCATTTCTGTAGTGCAAGGGTCCATCCATATTCTTTTAGGTTGTCAACATCCTAACATTTTAATCTGAACATTGACATCTAGATGGAGAAACTGATAACAGTACCACCACTGAAAGAACATAACTGTTCCAAAGCTGTACAGGAAACAGCAAAATTAGAAATCCATGTCAGCCATGTTACCTAACATTGGCCAAATTGTATGTCCCATAGTCAATCATATTCACATCCTTGTGGATTCAGTATTACATGGAACTGCAAGTCAAAAACTTCAGAGTCCCTTATATTCTTGTTTCAAACAATAACCATCTTCTGATGATATTGGATAAAAGTTGACATAGGAAGTAGTCACAAGAACCAAGAGAAGTCCCAAAATTGAACAAGAGATTCCTCTCCTTTACGAATTTAAATGACACAGCTAGTTTGAACAATCATCATCTCAACATCTAAACCTTTACTATCCAACTTTTGCAGGCAAAGACAAACTAATCTCAGGTTCGGTAATTGTCAATGTTGGTTCCAGCTAACCCTGTCCAGACCTTCATTACGGACTCTTGGATATTAACATGCAATTGAAAAGGATGAATTCCAGGATCCATTATTTGTACAAAGCAAAGAACCAGTTTCTGAACTTGGTACAGGGAAAGGAGTTGTCCTCTTGTCGTGCTGTGAGTAGAGCAATTATGACCACCATTATGCAATAAAGATATTAATGATCTTTGTTTAGTTCAACCAGTTGTTGATCTTACTAACTTTTTGCACTTTCTTGTGTACATACAATGGCTACCTATTAGATTTATTGAAATCCCTGTGAACCTTCATTAGTGACCTCTAAATATTTAAGATTTTTCATCATGACACAAAAGTCAGAACTCAGATGACCCAAACGAATCCAAATAGTAAATACCAACAACAAAAACAAGAAAAGTTGATCGTTAAAAGTAATAACATGCATGTCTGTGCACATAATGTAACATCTCAAGAGGCTAACAGAAACTAGAAATTGAAATATTTTCATCTGGGATATTTTCCAAGTTCATTACAAAGTCAGCGTAATTCAATGATTCATAAAATTCAGCGAAGACATTGATTTGCCCTCGAGTAGCTGAACTAGGGGAACTCAAAACTAGCTACTAGGAAAAAAAGACCACTATTTGAACATCAAGCTTGTGGACAAGTTGCTTCCGTTTCAGTGCTTTTACGCTGGCCTCTTCGACCTTTCTTGGGTTCACAAGAAATGTCATCAAAGCTCTCCATTAAAAGTGCATAAATGTGAAAGAATCAAGTTCATTAGTAAATTCAAATTCTAAATCAAGGCTATTTGTTATATATTCACCATTTTCATACAATAGAACTAACTCTGCTTGGTGATCTGAGCATTAGCTACACATGTAACGTGTTAACCATTTTGGTCCAAATTAATTTCCATTGTGCACAATACATTCACTTGTTCTCTATTAAATTCTCACAGCAATTGCCACCAATAGTATGCATCAAAGTTAAATATATCCTGTATTACAGCGAGCAGCATTATGCATTTCAGGAACCATTTAGAGCTCACTAGGCATTAGGCCACTAGCTGCTTCACTTGATATTATTAAGTCAGTGATAAGATCCTTCTCATCCGACATGCAGTGCTTTGGTACATTTACAGTCAGACAACAAGTTTGGTGGCTGCATAGTTTACAACAACAACAAAATACCTAGTGTAATCCCACAAGTGGGTTTTGGGAGGGTGGTGTGTACGTAGAATCGTAGACCTTACCCCATGAAGGTAGAGAGGTTGTTTCTAATCGGCCCTCAGCTTAGGTAAAGGTAGCAACAGAGTTTCAATAATAAAACGCCTCAAGGATGATAAAAATCAGTAATGGTACGTTCATCTAGACCATCTTTATTGTGAGGCAATAGATATTGTGCAATAAGGATCTAAAAGAAATGTGGAGATTTGAAGTTCAAATCCCTAGCTAACACCAGGGGCGGAGCTACATGGTGGTCAGAGACCGAACGCCCTTCGCGAAAAAATTATATTGTATATATAAGGTTCAATTTCATTTAGGTATAGATATTATAAAATGAACCCCCTCAACATAGACTTGAAGCTTGGTTCAGCGGTCAAGGGATTCAAATGTTGCAAGAGGTCTCTAGTTTACCCACGTGCCACACCATCTTATAATGGATACAAATTCTTGTGAATCGTGAATTATTATAAAGAATAAGAAAGATAATAATTATTAGCTATTAAATTCCCATTTTCTAAATTACGTTCCCAGCATTAATAAAAGTAGACTCCCTCACTTATTTTTGTCTTCTTTACTTTATGCTTAACCATGGTAAAGTTTTTATTTATTTGAACATATCAAATTTGGTTGTCGTAATATATTTGAACTGATAATTTTTTCTCCACATAATGTTCCCCTTAACAATTAAGTTTTATAAAAATGAATTATGAGTCATAATTAAATTAATTCTTTCCTGTTAAATTTATTAACTTCCTATTTGTTTAACTAATTAACTTTAACTACACGATATCCTCGATTCAACAAAGCATTTTGGACATCGAAAACATAGATATGAACTCTTATTACTATTTAAAATACGTTTATATCATTTAGTGTCAGAACTAAGTTTTGAAAGATAGGACAAATTTGTACAAAAAATCTTCCTTCACATTGGACATCTCCCCAAATTTAACAATGGTTTCTGAAGACTAAAAATATTTACATAATGATTGAAGATTTTCAATGAAAAAGTTTGTGCTTTCATACATGGAATTAAAATTATGAAAATTTCATTTATGAAGAAACAAGTATAGTGTTCCTCCATGTTCTTTAAGTGTTTTTTGGTCTTTTAAACGTGTTTCAAAATAAGTTATTTGTTAGAAAATCAAGAAGATATTTTTAAAATGCACAAAATATTTTTAGAAAATCAAGAAGGTATTTTAAAAATGCACAAAATATTTCTAAAAAACATGCCGGCGCAGAACAAAAAATTAAAGAAATGTTAAAAGAGCCATGATAGGGCGAGTAGGAGTTAAGCTTAGTCTTTTCCTTAATCGCCCCGACCTATTATTAAACCCCCTGGATGAATATTCTGCCTCCGCCACTGGCTAACACTCAGTGTGAATCTACCTGCTCCAACCTTGGTGGCAAATTTACTTGGTACCTGTGCTTTTCGGCTAGCAGGCTGCCAGGTGGATTAGTTGCGGTATGTGCAAGTTGACCCAGACACCACTACAATTAAAAGGAATAGATCTAAAGGAAATTTGTAATGGCAGTACCTCGAAACAAATTTAATTAGCTAAACATCAAATGCCTAATGGTAGAAGAAACAAGCTAGTTGTTCAAGTTCCTACCTCCATGTCTTTAATGGTATGGATGGAAAGCTAAGAAACTAAGTTCTTGAAGGATTGGAGCTTAGCACCTATCCATTTAATAACAGCAACTTCCGTCAAAGTTATACTACTGTTGGGAAAACCATAGAAACCCAGCCACCTACTATACTTTCTGCTAATCATTAGATCTAGATTTGTACAGGTCAGATATTACTGGTGTTCCTCTTGTATATGTGCTCCTCTTGTATATGTGACAGAGAGAGAGTAAAGGGACGGTCCTGTTAATAGAAGAAATATACAACATAGGGCAAGTGGACAACTTGTCAGATATAAGATGACAATGCTAATTACCTCCTGCGCAAGTCCACTCCAGCCACCCAGTCCTGTTCCGCCAACATTTGACATAAGGTTTGGTGAAGTCATAGGGCTGGGACTTCTATGCCGAAACCTATCTAGCTCACCAAAACCTTGGTTTGGCATCATTCCTGAAACCCTCATGATCTCTGAAAATCGAAAAGAAGTCAAGGTAATTGATCACTAAATCAACATTGTAATAATAGCATGATACTATGAAAAAACATAGTTACTTACCCGTAAGATCTCTGAAAATTAGAATCTAGCTATGGTAATCAAGCATCAATAAAATAGCAGTTCAACGATAATGCACAACATAGTTTAACAATAAAACTTGTAGCATGATCATCAAAAGCTTGGGAATAAACCTAAAAAAGTAACATGAGGTAAGAGAAATAAACATCTTATATTATCTGTTTTTGGATAATAAAAGATGACAATTTGAATTAACCTCACGAATTCTGAATTCTTGGTAACTCAAGAGACATATCCACCAAAACTAAAACAGATCAAGTATGTTAACATTAAGAACATGCATTTAATATTTCACATTTAAACGAGTTTGAAACTTTCCAGACTGGCTAGATATTCTTTTGTTATTTTAATGACAAGGGAAACCCGCAGCCGCTACCCTTTGGGTGAGCACAAGGTTAGACACCCACTCTTATGCAACAGCTCGCAGATCACACCGGAGAGGTAACCTGCACTAGGCAAGCCTAGTGGATGAGCTCGATCTAGAAGGAAAACCCATTGCCTTCGCTGGCAATGAGTTTCGAACTTCAGACCTACAACATGAAAGTATCAAAGCCCAAACCACTGGACCACCCCGAAGGGTCGACTGGTCAGATATTCTTTCAAGAAAAAATCAGCGCAAAAGTGTCCACTCTCAAGCAGGTTATTCCCTAGACCACTGTTTGATCAAATAAATCATATTTTTCTTATTTTAGTTATTAGATTTCCCAAAAGTAGTAACTAAACTGTCAAAGTTACAAATCCCCTTGGAAAGTTTTTGCCCATGTCCTTGCAGATCCTTCTGAAGATAAATAATAGCACAAAATTTCATGGACATAAGTTGGCATTGTTGAGTAAACATGTATAACATTTGAAAAAAGATGCCACTTCCTTGAGAAAAAATCGATCTTTTTCACGTATCATTTCCTTCTGCCGTTTGCATAATTTAGCAAATTAGAGCCTTGTGTATAAACATTAAGGTGCAAAAAAACCTTCTTAAACGAGAAGTAAAATGCCTCCCAAGTGCCTCATTAATTTTCTTTCGATTAGCTAACCAAATCTATTACAACAACAGAATAATTATAAATGAAGATTAATTACATATACAGAGGATCCAAAAAGGGGTTACAATCTAAAAAAGATAAATTTCTTTTATTGGATCACATTCACAACCCTGTCACAGTGAGAAGTTGGACATCAACAACAACATACGCAGTGAAACCCCACAACTAGGGTCTGAGGAGGCTAGAGTGTAGACAGACCTTACCCTACCTCAACAAATCAAAGTACTTAAGAAAAGTTGAACGAGAACAGATAAAGTGAAACAAATGGTGGTCTACGAAGGTAAAAACAAATCAAGCCAGATCTAACTAGTCATCTTTTAATCACAACAAATCAGAACCAATGCAGCAAAACCTCTGAATCCCACCTCTTAAAAAGTGCAGATTTACCACAACAAATCAGAACCAATGCACAAAACCTCTAAACCCTCACCCCATAGAAAACTGCAGATTCCCCACAAGAAATCAAAACCAATGCAGCAAAATCTCTGAACCCCACCTCATAAAAAATGCAGATTTACCACAACAAATCAGAACCAATGCAGCAAAACCTCTAAGTCCTCACCCCCACCTCATAAAAACTACAGATTTACCACAAGAATGTGCCACATATATCAACTAGACGAAAAAAGAAGTTACCTTGATTCAAGAGTGTGCTACATATAGGAAGAACTTGCATGAAAGGACCAATCTTTTGATGCTCCGACAACAACTCAGATAAATACTGATTACTGAAAAAGAACACACATAACAATCACAACCCCACATAGCAAAATTCAAGAAAATGCAGAATTCACCAAGATTAAACAAAAAAAAAAGATACCTTTCAACATCTGGATTAGTTCTAATCTGAGGAGATGCAGCTCTTGAAGGTGAAAAGTTATGATTATATAAACCTGACATAGCTTTGTTTTTCCTTAGAAAAGAGTCAAATGAAATGGGGTTCCCTGTATATAGCGGCACAAGACAGAAAAAGAAAAAGAAGGGAGTAGACAGAAGTGTCTAAAAGTCTGTGAAAATTGGTAGAAAGGCAGCAAAATCTTCTCTTTTTCTCAGACTTGACTGCCAGCATCACTACTTGGTGGCTGCATAAATAATTAATAAATTGAAATAAATATACCAACAAAGTACTATATTATATGTAAATATAAAAGATACCTAAGTATATACATAAATGTATTTTGAATAGATTGAGGCATTAGAATCGTGGTAAAGTGATAAATATTATGTCTTGAATTCAAGTATTATTAACTATGTAATTGCTTTCATGAGTAATTTTTTTGCCAAATTTACCTCCGATATGAAACTTTTGGATACAAGTTAAATTTAATCGGATCATGCATGCAAAACAATAATAATAACTCATCATTTTATACGTAAGATAAAGATGAGATATGTTAAGATTATAGTTCGAATAAAATTTATTACTACTTAATAAACGTAAAATTTGCTCACGATAAATTTAAATCATCAACTAAACGACAGTACAAAATTTATCTCAAACTTAAATTATGAAATATCTCATATTATCACATTCAAATTAAAGTTGTGTTATCCCTTCTCTTAAACGTGAATATTTCTAAGAATTACAATCTCAAAATTTTAATTTCAGAATAAGATATTGTATGATAGATAAAATAACTTAATAAAAACAACAATCATATATCTGAATATGAATATTACTCTCTCTGTAGGCGCGTATTAAAAAATCATAAATAAAAAAACAATCTACTAATTCACCCATAAAAACTTTCTTGAAAATTTTACAAATAAATGTGAACACTTTTAAAAAAGTTAATTGTACGAGTAATTTAGGAAAAAATTAATTAATATTTTCTTAATTTAATAAGTTAAACAACTAATATGAGATAACTATTTTTAAAAAAATGATCAATTAATTAAGGACAAAGGGAGTAATTATCTTCAAAAAATTATTTTATTCTACTATTTATTTTTTTAAAATAATAAAATTAATCATTCTGCCGTATAATTCCCACCCCCACCAACCAAATGAGCCCTAATTGTATAGTATATGAATTGGACTATTGTCACCTAAGAATCCGCTGTCATGTGTGGTGTGAATTAAAGAAAATCATTACCAAAATTTAATTTTTAAAATAAGAAATGGAGAAAAGTAGATTCAATTATTGTATATGAAAAAAAGCTAACATTTTTTTTTTACTCCTTTATGATACGAGGTAGATAATATCGAGGTGGGATTTGTCCCCCCCTTTTTTTTAGGGTTAAAATAGTACTTAATTCTTTCATATTCAATTTTACACTTTTTTTCATTAAAAAAAAAAGTTTATATAAATAATTTACTATGATATTTATATTATTAATTGATGTTATAATTATTTTTTTTCCTTAATAAGTTAAAAACGAGTAATATGTATCTTAAAATTTGCTTTGTCTTTTCTTTTAGTTTGTTTTACAAAAGAATCTTTTCTCCTTTTATGACAATTTAATAATTTAAACTCTTTAAGTAACACATACAAAATTATAAAATTAAATAATTTTTTGATACATTTTATGTTATATTAAATTAAATAAAATATAAAAATCTTATCTATTTTTTTAAAATTGTATATTAAATTATAATTAAATAAATAAATTAAAAGAAAGAAAATATAAATAATGATACAATTAGCTTGCATAGCGCAGTTGGAGGAATTGACAGAGAGTGTGGCCGACACTTTCATTAGATGTATTATAAATGATCATACATTTTTTTTATATTATAAATACAAATGTTATTTTAAATTTTAATTATATGATTTAATATTTGGAAGTATCTGAACTTTAATCAAATTTAGTGCTTTGTACATATATTTCATATTAATAAATAATATATATATATTATTATAAGTGGAAATAAAAAAGTTAAAAGTTGAAATATCAAAATAACCCTATATAGTTAAGTAATTATATTATTATTATTTTTAAATAGTAATTTAAGTTTTATAATAATTTTTTTTACATATCATTAAAATGTTATCGTAATAATTTGAAGTGCATTTATGAGTATTCCTTTTGTCATTATCATTGAGTTGCATTAACAATTTTTCTTCTTAATTGCTGAATTTTAAGCACTTATAACAATTACCGTTTTAGATTAAAAAAATTTAAAGTTAGAGCATATGAAGAGAGAGGTTAGAGCACATGGAGAGATTCATACAATATCAATATTTTAATTGAAGAGAATACATGGTTAGATGTCATAATTTATTATTTTTCACTTGATGACTTTAATTGCTAAACTTTTTAGCTTTTACAATTAAATACATTCATTCACAACCTTTCATATATACAATTTCTCTCTTTATAAACTGAATAGAAAATATTAGTCCATTACACTTTATATTTTCACATCTTATAGTTCTTATGTAATCTTTTATTCATCGTTCTATTTTTTTTCTTATTGATATATTGCTTTGTTTAATTAACTTCTTTCATTTTGTATGGAAAAGATATTTGGCAATCTTGAAAAATCATATAATTGAAGTAGTAATCTTTTTTTTATCAATAAATATAATGTATCCCACATGATTAAGTTTTTATCAATACAATCAAAAATTCTTCAGATTCTATTGATCTTTACAAGTTGCAACCTTAGTTGAATGTTTTAGCAGAAACATCATTTTTACCCTTTAAATATTATATAATGCATCAATTATTCTAAATTAATTATATCATTTGAAATGTTTGGTATTATATAACATAGAATACACGTGCAACATACGTGTCCGAGAACTAATATATATATATATATATATATAACATTTTGGGAAACATTATTTTTCTTTTGCATGTTTGATGCATCCATTTGCTATCTAAATTTCACCTCATTTAAGAATTTTTTTGCAGTAGGATTTGAACTATGATAGTAATCATATGCGTCTAACCCACACATCAAGCGTTATTAAGTGTTATTGTTACCATAAAACGAAAGCCCTTGTTCTATTAGGAACATATCTAGGATTTCAGTACAGAGAAATTCCAGTCTGTTTACAAGTAGAGAGTCGATGAATACTAGTGAAAATTCCACAAAAGTTTAAACAGAAACCAACAACTGCACCAGATTCAACAAAGAAGCATTTCACAAATGTCTCATTGTTATAAAGCTCATAGGCTATGGAAAACCAGCAACAGGAGAAGGAAGAAAGACGATATTGAAGTATTTTGCACATGATCTCGAGCCTCAAAAGACCATTTTATTCCCAAACGCAGGTTTCCTGCAATGCCACCAGGCGATGTACAGTATCAGTACAAGTTTGATGCACATGAATAAATCATAACACAAAGTTGCAATGTTCAGTCATGCCAAATATTTTGCAACTTAAATAGGAAAAGAGCCACCTCCAATTCTAGCATAATGATGGAATCCATGGGATTCCAAAAATACACAAGCATCACAATGAACTTGAAGAATCACAATGAGTAGAAGTCAAATTAACAAGGTCACACGCATCTACAGACTACAGGCTTATAAAATCTCTCCTTTTCAGAGTCAAGTGTCAACTTTGCATTTTATGATGCCTAGAAATAAAACAAATAATTAAAGAAGAGTTTGTCTTTGATAGTGGTTTTTTTTTTTGTGTGTTATGGATAACATACTTTATTCCCAAAGAGTGTGGTCTAGGGAGGGTAGAGTGTACACAGACCTTACCTCATTGTTTCTAATAGACCCTTGGCTCAAAACAAAAACAAACTCGAAAACCCGTGATGGAAGTACAAGAATAGCAACCAAATACTACAATTGAACTACACAAAACAACAAATATCAACAAAAATCAAAGAACAAAGAACCACAACCATAGCTCTGACTACTAGTAAAGGCACCAAGACAATGCACTCCTACCTACTAGCATGGACACACTCTTACCAACTAACCTTCTACCCAAATTCGCATCCTCCATGCCTTGCTATCTAAGGTCATCTCCTCCATAAGTCACAACTTGCCATGTCCTTGTCTTCCCAATACTTCTCCTCTACCTCTACCTCTTCTGAATCCGTCCATAGCAAACCTCTCACACCTCCACAGAGGAGGATCTTGCATCTCTTCATCACATGCCCTAACCATCTCAATCTAGCTTCCCGCATCTTGTCTTCCACCGCAGTCACTCCACCTTGTCTCGGATATCCTCATTTCCAATCCCATTTCTCCTACTAAACCCACATATCTATCGTAAAATTCTCATCTTCGCCACCTTCATCTCCTGGATGTGAGAGTTTGACTGGCAACACTCCACCACATACAACATAGCTAGTCTAACCACCACTTTGTAAAACATTAGAATTTAGTTTGTGAGACAATTATTAAAGGGGTTCATGCTCATATATTTTGGTGATGGGACAAGGAAGCCAAGACTTTAAAAGTCAATACACACAACTATCTGCTCATTGCCTTTACAAAGAGCTCATCATCAGTTAAGTGGATTCACAAGTTCGAACAATGAAGAAATGCCTATGGATAATTTCAATGCCGATGAAGCTCATAGTACTTGGAAGAAAATTCTGAAATCGATGAAGCGACTTGAAATGAAACAGAGCTTAAAAAAAACATGGTCCAAAAAATAATGGGGAAGTACCTAACAATTAACATGACCTAAACCACATAAACATCTTGCTCTTTAAGTTTTGAATAACGTAATCTAAAGAGTGATTAAGTGATACTTGAAACCCCTCCAGTCTATGTTCAATGGAATGGGAAATTTGTCTATAAGCTGGTATTTGCCTGAACTGCAAGGTCCACAATCTTGATACCATTCTTGAAAAATAGAAGTACACAAAGTGAGAGTTTGTAAGACTATGAAAGAATACATTCTAACAGTGTGATTGCACGATAAATCATAGACAATAATATGATTCAGTAAGAAGGCACACTAACTACGGATTTCTTCAGAAAGCCGGAGTTTACAAGGAACTGAACTTACAAGAGTTGACAAAGACAATTGCATCCGACTATTTTTATTTTGGTTAAAACACCTTATTTGTTAACAGATCACCAACATATGAGATCTCCAAATTTCATAGACTCATTTTCGGAATGACTCACCATTTAATCGCTAAATTTCC